CTCACAGTCCCCGACCCTCCACCAGGAACATTAGCCGGCGCGCTGCCTGCTCCGGGGATCGAGTTAGGGAGGGTCGTCTCTGCCGCGCCTCCGCTCTTTGTCGCGCTCGATTTGGTTCCCGTGACCTTGCCCTTATCCATATCCGTGCCTGTGCCGAGGAAGGACTCGAGGGTGGTGCGCTTGTTGCTATCCACCACTGTATCGTTCGTCGCGCGGTAGCTGTTGTAGTAATACGACTTGCCCTTGTTGGTTCCGGGGCCGCTGTCGGCGTTCCAGCACTTGACGGTAATTTCGCCAAAGGTAGTGAAGTAATACCCGTAGTTCTTGATGTCCTCGTGGTCCCAGCTAATAGGGCCGCCAGCCCAGTCGATTGTGCCCTTCGCGTTGGAGGCGAGACCGCCGGGCCAGATGGAGAGCTGCACGCGGGAAGGGGTTTGCGGGAAATCCCACTGGTTGGCTGTGGCGTTCCAGGTCTCGGACTTCTTCTTGGTGCGGCCGACTTGCCCGTCGACCAGCCACTGGATCTGGTCCGGAGTCCAGCGGATCTCGTACTCGTGCCAGTTGGCCCAGGAGTCGGTGATGGTGATGTTCCCGCTGTTGACGTAGGACGGGATGCCCTGGAAGTAGTAATTTGTTTGGGCGGTCTTGAGCTCGGTGCCGACGAACTCGTAGTCGATTTCGTCTTTGACATCACTCATCAAAATAAAGGCGGTGACGACACCGGCCGCGCGAGGTCTTGAGACGCGCCTTGACGGAGCCGTACCACATGTAGCTTGTCGAGGCCAGGACGGTACCGACCGAGTTCTTGGGCATGGTGAGGAGGGTGTTGTCGTTGTAGTTTACCGGCTCGCCTTGGGAGACCCAGTCGGCCTTGGACGGGTCGCCCAAGTACTTGCCGATGTCGACGATCTTGGACATGGAGGCTTTGTCCATCTTGTAGGTCTTGTCTTGGCAGACGGGCGCGGGCACGCAGGATTCTAGAGAGAAGGACATGCGCGGGTCGCAGCCGCCGAGGCAGTATGCGCCGACGCCGCATTGGCCGTATTCTGCGGTCGCGGATAGATGCGTTAGTGAAATGCGGTACGCATGAGGGTGTCAAGACGGCATAGCAGATGTTGTGTTCAACTGAATCAACAAGTGAGAAATGAGAACCGAAGACGGAACTTACGAGAGCAGCAAGGTGCCGACTCTGGACATTTCTTGTCCAATGAGCAAGTAGGGATATCATCGGCGAGGACGGTACCGGCGCCGAGAAGGGCAGCGGCGCCCAAAGCCAAAACCGTTGAACGCATTTTGAACTTTTTGCGATGTGATGATGTAGTTGATGAAGAAAAGAAAACGAAAGTAAGTGTTGCCCGTCAAACGAAGCGACAAGGACAATGAACGTTGAAGAGTCAACTTGACGGGGGAGTGGTATCGTAAAAGATTAATATTACCCAAAGGCTCCAAAGGACCCAGAACAGCCGATGTGACCTAGGAGACCCTACCAACAACGGCCCTTGCAAGGGATAGCCTATAGGGATTCCCCGTACCGGGTGAGATGGCCGAATTTAGTTTTATTGCCTTTCGCCTAGTCGATCCCCTAGACTAGTCGCTTTGCCTTCTCCCTAGTCGTTCGAGGCGTGCTGCCCCAGATGGTCGTCCGTTGAATGTGCAGGTGGGGCAGTGTGTGCTCGTAGCTCGCAGTGAATCCTTCTTTCGTAAGAAGGGAATGGAGCAACGCAAAGCGGCAAAAAACAGCCCAATGTCAAGTTGTTGGGTTCAAAAAAGGGCTGTGTTGGCGCGTGATGTGAGGAGTCGTCGTAAAAAGCCCACTTGGTTGTAAGTGAAGAGTTCCTTTTTGATCCCGAGTGATTGACGGTCGTCGGCCCGGGTTGTTCGGCACACGATGTTGATGTTGATTAGATAGCGAGGGTGTTTGGTTTTTGTGTTTCCGTTTCCACGGGTAACGATAACGATGGTTGGTTGGTGAATGGGTAAGGGTGGTAAAAGCGAGAGAGTCGACCAAAGTCAGAGTTGAAAGAGAAGGAAGGAAAGAGGGAAGGAGGCAAAAGCAAAGGCGAGGCGAAAAGAGGGAACGGGAAGGAAACCTTATTCAGGATTCAGTTTTTTCAAAAGCGAGCTGCCCACACACCCACCCCTTGGATCTGGAAGTAGGAGAACAAGTTTCTGTGCCGTTCGCTCGGTTCCAACGCGGTTGAAACCAAACAATGGGATGCCAATGGCAATGCCAATCCCGTGTGCAAGTCAGTCAGTTAGTCAGTCCACCCTCCATAACAATGGGAAGCTCTTCCACCAAGCTTCTCTAGCACCTGAAGCTCCCAGGAAACACCGAAACGAATGGACGGAACGGCAAAGACGGAAAACGGGGAGCCGTGGTGCCGTTACCAACCGAAAACCCGAACGACAGGATTCTGATGATCGATCAACGAAGGCTCAGTTAAACCTCCAAAATGTGGGGGAACCCGTGAATCCATGAAAGAGAAGATGCAGGAAATTGTACAAACGGGGAAACATTCGACAGGGGAGTGGATCGATCACGAGGGAGTGGGACTTGCTATTCCATTTCTCCACAGGTTTTAATGTCCCTTGGAGCTCCGATCCACTCCCTAGAAAAGAGTTGAAGAGCCCGGGCCCAGGCCTTTTGCCTTCCCTCTGCCAAACCGCCAATTTCTTGAAAGGTATGGAGAGAAGAACATCCATTGATATCCAAAGCTAAGACGTTCTCCTTTGCGCATGATTGTGTTTGAATTTATCACTTTCCACTCACGTACATGCTGGATATTGACGTTGTGCAGCAGCTGACAGAATGTCAGAACGGCAGCGCAGCGCATTGCATTGACACCACTTAACACCACTGCCTGGGAAACCCTGGCGCTGACCACCTTGTCAGTTCGTGTTGGACAATCGCGCGCATTCCCGATCTGGCTGTTGCACACAGACAGACGGCCGACTGGGCCGGGTGTTTTGAATGTCTGGGTTTTTGGGTGAAGGTGAATGGAATGGAGGGGAAATGCATTATATCTCCCTAGGAATTGGACAATGCAAGTGATGTCGCACAACCGGTAGCCACCGATAGCCATCGCAGAATGGTAGAATGGGAATGATCAAAGTTGAGCAAACAAACAACTTCCCAGCGCCAGTCCAGTGGTCTGGGAATTGACCTGAGGTCAACGGTTCAGTTCATGTGCAAAGGGACTCATGCACGACACTCGACAGTCAATGTGTGGCTTTTTTTCGTACATCGAGCCAAGCCGAAAGCTCAACGTCGGTCCGGTTGATTGGGACTGCGAATGGAAGGGAGTGGTTGCAAGGTGACAGCCAGAACGGCCCATCACGAACTCTTCAGGCTTCAAAAGGGAACCTACCCTAGCCCACGAGAATGGGCCGCACGCCCGCAAGCCAGCAAGCGCGCAAGGTGATGTGATTGGGGATCTGAACGGCTTGGATGAAGCTGAGAAGTCCCGGAGGAGTTGTGGTGGTGTGCTGAGTACGAGCTGAAGTACCAACGCCACTCATTCATTCATGCCGTGTTCACGGCTGGACTTGACACCTGGGTCAACTGCGTAAAGCTGCCCCTGGGTTCATGTCTCTGTCTCCGTACCAATCCTGATCTGGGACGTCCAGCTGAGATTTATTTTCCGTGAAGATGTCTCTCGGCCAAAGATATGGTAGGTCGCCGGTCGTGTTGTCGTTGATGCAATATCGTGTTGCTGTGCTGATGAGGCATAAAATGTACCGGTACCTCGTGAGCTTGAGAAAGGCATCATCCTATCACGATTCACGAATCCGCAAAAGTTATGCTTTGCCCCACACCTTGTTCTTTAAATTGCTTGCATCGCAGGCACAGCGAGCGGGTCACCGCGGTGGGAAAGTGGGACTTGGCCGTTGCCCAGACTTTGGAGTTTGGAAGCACAGGCGGAATCAGAAGCACAGGCGGAATCAGAAGCGCAGGCAGGATCAGGAGCAAGAGTAGTAGGAGCATCACCAGCGAGACGGGAGCGCGCATGTTTGGAGTTGTGGATTGTGGCGGTTGAGGACTTGATGTCGACGACTGGAATGTGTTTAATTCCATTGCGTCTCTTTTCTTGCATCCTATGACATATCCGGATATCTCCTCACCTTCCTCCTTGATCATGCAGCGCGGAGAATCCCCTCTGTTAGTTGATACCGCGCCTCTGGTCTTCATTTTCCTTGACCCCGTGCCACTCCCTCACGAACAAGCCTCAAGGACCCAAGCAGCAGCACCAAACCAAACATCAACTCGACGATCTCTTGGCGTTCATCCCCCCTTACCCTCTCATATCCTTCTCTGTACAACCCCATATGAGGCAAGTGGTGAGACAATCAAACGCCTTGGAAACGCCCCTCTGTGCCGCTCAGCGCCGCTCAACGCCTCCACTGGCTGCACTGCAATCAAAGCTGTGATCTACATTAGGCTGTTTGGCTGCCTTGCTCGACTTATACATACTCACAGGGCTTGGTGTACCTTTGACAGCTGCGGGCGGCTGCGACCTTATACCTTTGTGATACCTTAATCTGCTATCTCGGGGTAAAAGTGGTACTGGTGCGCGGCCGATTGTGGGTGAGGCTTGAAGGCTGGATAAATTTCTCTGGAACCCCAAGGTTAGGAGGTCACGAGTACTTCAAGAAATAGTTCGACAATCACAACGATTATACGACACGCAGGCCGATGAAGTGTTTTCGAAGTAATGGACAAGAAGGCTGGTGATCTGTTATGCCTGAGAGGACATAAATGTGGAAGAAGCAACTCGGTGTCTGCTAGGACACCACTTCCGATAAGATACGAACAGCAGCGATAAGGCACGCTATCAAGTATCTCACTAACAGACCAACAAGCCCCAACTGCGCAGGCTTACACACTTGATGACCTGACCGTCGATGCCAAAACCGACGATAAGTAAGTCCCCTTTTCAGGCAACTCTCGCGGGGACTGTCTGTTTCTCTGGAACAGGGTGACTGGAAAGGGGATATACCTCATCCTTCCTTGTATGTACCCTATACAGGATGTACACTCATTGTCAATCATCAGCGCTATACCCCACCTTCCAGAGATGCCGTCCAGACGAGTTAGGTTGATAGGTTGATAATGTATCCATACACTATACCCTCTCTTCGCCCTTGTATCCTCGTGTAGCATGATACATCTCCTGAACCCTCCCTTAAAAGCAGGAAACAAAGTCCAGTGACCTCCTTGCCTCTTAAGGCAGCCCGGTGGCCTCGCAGGGGGTGGAAAGCAAACATGACAATGTAGCTTTTGTCATACGTACTCTGTTGGCTCCACTCTTTTGGCTGGCAGGTTATAGCGATCTCGATCTGAAAGTTTCTGTCTACCATAGCCTCTAGCTACACCATCAACCCGTGGTGAAGGAAACCAAGCATGTGAAAGACCAACCAGGAAATTCCCCTAACCCAGATCTCGACCAACTCACGGCACAGAAACGGATTACACGTGTACATAATTACCAATCCTCTACAGCTAGCTGTCTTTTCCGACAAATAATGAGTGTTGAAACTTATCAATCAGGCATTCACCAGTTCAGAAGGCTTACCATGTTGTTGCAACTAGTGTACGCAGTACGCATCAGATCCGACTTGGAAATACGTAGGAAATAACTGTCACAGTCTCGTTAAAATATGAAGACCCAAAGACAAAAGTTCATGAGCCGGTGATGGTCTGGTCTGGTCCCCTCGCTCACCTCGGTCCAGTACCGGTAGAAGCTAATCTTTGGCTCGATAGCTGCCATTGGATTGGCTACGGCAACGGAGCAGACTCCCATCCATTCAGCGTTTCAGACCCAAAGAATATTATGGATACGCCGGCTAGCCTGGCCGATGGGAGTTGTCCAGCCGGGTGGAATCGGTCCAGATGTCTCACGGTATTATCTTGATATTTTAGTTTGGGGAGTGTCATTCACCGTATTCAGACTTTCCTTGACCGCGGTGAGAGGGTGACTGCGTGACTTACCGAGCGAACGATAGATCCGCTGTACACGGAGAACAAACGGTTGTCGAGGAAACGGGGACGTCAAGATGGGGGTTGGGGGTATAAACTACTCAATGGCAACTACCGACCTACTGCCAACCTGCTACTAAACTTAAACCTTACTACGCACTAACCTACTATAGCGACATGACATGACTATGAACAAGAACAGTAGCAATCTCTCCAGCTGTCTCTCCTACTACAACACCCAACACCCGGCGCCCCCCCAAAGTAATGTCCTTCTTAAGAATGTTATACCCACCGCCGTACTCGTCCGTCTGTCTA